GTGTGTGTGTGTGTGTGTGTGGCCAGCTCAGCCCACCAGGGGGCGGGGCTGGCTGGCATGTGGGGCTGGGGGATTGAACCGGGGTCCTCGTGCTTTTAGTTTGTTCTAAGTAGGTGCTTTAGACCACTGAGCCATCTCACCAGCCCCAGAACAAAGATCTTAAAAGTAAATATTTTAAAACTTAGAGCACTAGAAAAAGAAGTTAAACTTGAAGTTAATATGAAGAAGGAAATAAAGATAAGAACAGAGATAAGTAAGCTAGAAAACATAAACATGTTCATACTGCTCCAAAATCTTTAATTTATATAAAAATAAATTAAAGCAAAAATTTGTTCTTTGATATCAACCAAATTGACAAATCTTTAGCTAAATACACAATAAAGAAGGGAAAAGTCTTGAATTGCTGAAATCGGAAATGAAAAAGGGAACATTACTCCCAATCCTTCAGAGACAAAGAGGGTTTTTAAAGATTACTATGAACAGTTGTACATATTGGATAACCTAGATGAATTGGACAAAATCGTAGAAATGCAAAACTTACCAAAAGCAAACCACAAAGAACTATAAAATGTACATAGATCTATAAGCAGTAAGAAGATTGATCACTAACGAGAAATCTCCCCAAAGAGAGAAGTACTGGATTGAATGGCTTCATTGATGAATTCTATCAAACTGCTGAAGAAAATCAAACACCAATTCTCCTAAAATTTTTCCAAAAATTAAAGAAAAGGGAAAACTCAAAGTAAATATTTTATGTATTAAAAAATAAATCTTTTGTAACTCCCAACTCATAACACTGATACCATCAAGTTGCACATTTAAAATGATTATAGTGATGAGTTTTGTTATGCGTATTTTACCACAATAAAAAAATATATTGTGCCCGCTTTGGCAGCACATATACTAAAAAATATACTTGTCAAACTGGAGTCTTTCTACTCAGAGTGGGATCCTTAGGAAACTGTGTTTCAAAATAGGTGGGACTAACTTCCCTTTGAAACAAAAAGCTATTCAAATAACTATATATCCAAGACCAAGTATTTCAGCTCAAAGGCTACCAAAGCATCAATATAATTCATTAATTTTTTTCTTCATATATGGATGTTGGCTAAATATTTTTAGAGTTATTTCCAAATACAACAGTCCTTTTAGGTGGAAAAGGAAAGCGACTACCCATCAAGCTGAATTTTTATATAACATGTAGTCAAGTTTCAAGCTAAATGAAGGCTGCTCCAAAATCCAGTATTTGACTTGGGGGCTTAAGAAGTAGATAGGAGTTATCTTCTGCTAAGTATGGTACAAAAATTAAAATGAGGAGTGTGGAGGATTTTCTTTGGTGTATGTGTAGCTAAGTTTGGTATTTGAATTGTAAGAAAATGCTTTTCAAGGAGCAAGCAAAATCCTTTTATGATTTGAAGGACAACTATAAAAGCATGCTACATGTAGGCTTTCTCTCCTCTCAAGGTGATGAGGCACCCGGATCATGTGTCGTCCAGCGTTTATTTATGGGCTCATCATGAGAAACTTGTCATCATCGATCAGTCAGTGGCCTTTGTAGGTGGGATTGACCTGGCCTACGGCAGGTGGGATGACAATGAACATAGACTCACAGATGTGGGAAGTGTGAAGCGAGTCATTTCAGGCCCGTCCCTGGGATCGCTAGCAGTAAGTCAATTCTGCTTTTATGGCACTGCATAATATGAACATGATTTTCATAAGTATGTGTTAACAGCGTGACTGAATGATGATGGACAGGCAGCATCTCTTGGAGTAGACAGAACATTGAGTTAAACCTCAGATTTATCTTGTTTTATACCAGCCTTATCACCTAGCTAGCATGGAATTAGCGTCTTTCAGTCTCAATTTCTTCTCTTGTAGGAAGAAGGCAGACTCAATACAGTTTGATATCTCAGACTCAGCTTCTTAATTTTCCATGTAAATTAAGGATTTATTTCCCACTTGAAGTTCATAAAAGTGTGTGACAATCAAAATTCAGGTTAAAAAACACTGAAAAAGCTTATTAAAATAGCTTAAGGGAAGAGGGATGTAGCTCAGTGTTAAGAGTTCATCTTAGGTAAGATGTTGAGAATTTCCCTGTGATAATGACACAACAAAACAGATCACTCTGAGGTCATTTCGAGGGAAATTCTTTCTACATTAAGTAGAAAGTGAATCACTTTGTAAAGTACCTGTCAAATCAAGAGATGCTAAAATATGTATATGTTTATATCTATTTTCTTGTTATTTCAACTCTGTGGCTACCAAAGTATCAGTGCACTTATTAAAATTTTTGGTGGACTGCATCTTATTTATTGTTGATGAGGGCAATAGTAAGTTAGTGAAGGGATAGGAGAGAAAATGACAAACACAAGAATTTTCATATTTATCCATGAAAGTAGCTTGGTAATTCACCAGTAACTTACGTAATTGTATTTGAGATAAACAGGTAATTGGAATGAAATTTCAAGAATTTGGACCGCTGAAGGAGAACCACAGTGACCCTAGACTTTCTTGAGTGTGTGTTATCTGGCTCCATCATCATCCCCTCTCTACTTGAATTAAAGGACCTAATTGAAGCATAGCTACAGCAGTGTTTTGTTTATTTATGTTTTATATTATTTTTTCAGGCTGCCGTCACAGACTCTATGGAATCCTTAGGCCTCAAAGATAAAAATGAATCTAATAAAACTGTTGCCAGCATGAAGAGTCCTGATGAGACAGACTCAAAACTGAAAGGTGTAGGAAAGCCACGAAAGTTGTCCAAACTTAACCTCTACCGGCAGCTCCACTGGCACCATCTGCATAGCGCGGACAGTGTCAGCAGCCTGGACAGCGCCTCCAGTGAGTCACCTCTTTAGCAGGGAGCGGGTTGAGTCCCTGGGTCTCTCCCTAACCAGCCACAGCATGCCCGTTTCAGAATCAATCTTTCTGTAAGCGTCAGATGAGCCCGGCGGACAGGTTGCTGTGTCATGCCATTCAGCGTCCTGCCCCCTCATGGCTTGCTTGACTCATTTTGAAAACATATACTGTCTTAGGCGCGCAAAGTACTCATGACAACCATTATTTATGCTTTTGATAGTAGAAGAATGGCTATGAGTTTCTAAAACATGCCAAGCTAGGAAGGCAAAGAAAGGTACATAGATGTATCCTATAAATTTTTCTTAGAAGAAATTTCATTGTCTTCCCATCCAGAAATATGTCAAGCTTATGTCATCAAGCATCAGATATTATATGTCTTGTAAATTTAATATTCTTTGCAAATCTTCTCTAAAGCCTTGCAGTTTTCTATTCTACAGAAATTTATGACTCACTTTTTATCCGGGCTAGTTTGCAAAATGATTGAGATTTCCGATTTAGAAAACTTGCTATATGCGTATATATGTTTCTTTGTAAAAAGAAGAACTCTCAACTTTCTCCAGGTTATGTTAATCACTATAGAAGTCATCAGAATTTAATCCATGGTTTAAAACCCCACTTGAAACTCTTTCGCCCTTCCAGTGAGTCTGAGCAGGGACTCACTAGACACAGCACCGGTAAGTGACCTGTGAGCAGCAGAACCCTCAGGCTTCAGCTTTCCTTGCAATGTCTGTTGCATGGGTACAATTAATGTGTTTCCAGACTGGCTTCCTGTTCCCCAAATTCTCAGGCTACATGTATTCTGGAGAGCTCGCTCTGTGCAAAGTGCAAGATCCCTGTGCCTTGAGAACTTAGAACTTACCTAATGTTTGGCTGCGTGTCACACGCAGTGCCCTCGTGTTGTGCAGTTGTGTTGGAAAGTGGATGTCTTCCTCTGTCATGATCCAGAGAGACTCTTTGGGTGGACCACTTTAAGTCAGATCTGGAAGTCAGTTGGCTGGTGGAGAAAGAATGACACTGCACATGAAGGAAATGAGTTGAGCAACAGTGCAGGCATGGGAGAAGACAGCATCATTGCTGTTAACAGAAAATACAGCGTTTAGCTAAGAGACAGTTTTTGGTGTAAAAATGATGGAGGTGGTCATGTTTGGAGTTCCAAACAATGCTGGGAAGCTGGAACTTTAGTTGGTTAAAAATATTGAGACCAACTAAACGTAGCGATCAATGTGTATAATCATAACAGTCTAGTAGGCTAGTACAGGAGGATCCAAGTTGGACCCCAGCCTGGGCAACTTAGTGACTTAGTGAGACCCTGTCTCACAATTAAAACTGGGCCAGGCAAGCTCAAGGACCTGAGTTCAATCCCCAGGACTGCGTGCTGTGCCAGCTCCAGAACTAGGTGTGGTGGCACATGCCTGTAATCCCAGTACTGGGGAGGCTGAGACAGGAGTATCACTAGGAGTCTGAACTGCATAGTGAGACCCTGTATACTTAATAATAATAATAAGGAATGTCCAAACCTGCTTTTTGATATCTCTATGTATGAAAGCAGGATGGTTTGGAGAACTGTACTGTGGATTTCTGCTGCCTTATGGAAAGGAGCAGTTAATGGTTAATTTGTTTTATCTCCTTTTTTCAATTGTTTGTCCTTTTTCCCTTCTTAATTTCTTATATATTTGTTTGTTTTTTTCTTCCTCCTTCCAATTTTGTATGAATATATCTGGTAATATGAACAACTAATTAGAAAACAATACTACATTACAACAAATACTATGAAATTCTTATTATTTTGTTAAGTGAAATTCTTTATCACTTGTAATTTTTCTGTTTTAATACTATTCTTTACTCTCTTTAAAAAATTAAAAATAAAAAAAAATTAAAAACTGGGCCAGGGATGTAGCGCGGTGTGAAGCCCCTACACTGAATCTCAAGTACCAAGAAAATTTCAAATGCTTTAAAATGAAGGTATCATGCTCTACACATGAATGTTTAGAAATTATAATCTGATAACCTTTTGTAAAATGAATCAGATATTTGAGGAATGATTCATCAGGGCCTAACTTATGGTGGGAGTGAAGAAGGATTTACCAAGTGACACAAAATAAGGATAAGAAATAATCAAAATAAACACAACAGTAAAACCGTCAGCTAATCTTTATTTGGCAAGACTGTCCCTGCCTTAAGTGTGTGCAGTAATGGTGGTACTGCTGTCTCCATTTTACAGATGAGGAAACTCAGAGGCGATAAGCAGCTTGCCCAGAATTGTCTGGGTTTCTTAGTGCTTGGGATTTAAATTTATGATTTAGAAGAAATGCAGTTTGTTACGTCATGACCTTCTGGCCAGAACTCCAAGGGCAGGGTTCTCTGTATTGTTCAGGAGATGAGGACATTAGAGCCTAGACCATATGCCTCCTTCTGCATCACCTGTGGCTAGCAAGTGCTAAGGTACCTGATAAATCAAGTTGGACTTTGAGCA